TCTCTTCCAGTGAAACATGTCAGTTATGAATGTATATTGTTCTTTTTTTCCATTTTACTACTTCTGGTCCTAACGTTAGTTGTCTTGTTTATTCTGTTCTTTTTTTACTCTTTTGATGTTGCTTGGCTTGAGTCATTGTTATTACAGGTCGGTGACCTTTGATGACACACTTTTCGTGAATAAAACAGTCTTAGTCTCTTAGTCTTAAGAGACACTCTGACAAAAAGAACGTTATGCCTGATATTTTTCAACACAACGAGTCAAAATTCACAACAAGAATAGATATCTGTAGCGAGCTAAGTTGTGTTAATTCTGAGAAGAAGAATTTCGCGCATGTTCTTGCCAGAAATTTAGAGTTTACTAGAAATCGACGACGGGAGTCAGTGAAAATTTTTGCGAAAATTTTACAAAGTTCAAAGATTTTTGAAGTTTCCACAATGGAAACTCGGTAGAAAATTTTCAAAATTTATAGACAGGTTTTGCACCTCTGTTTTTAGGTAAAACTACATTCCAGTAGTGGATGGAAAATTCCGAGTCTCGCGGATGTTTTGCAGTACATTAGTTTTTTTCAAAAAACTAATTCTTGAAAAATTTCTGATAGAGGGGAGGGGTCACCTCTTTGATGGTACTTAAGCTCAGTCGTGTCACTATCACCAGCAGCTCTTCGACTCTGTTACTTCTTTTACATTCAACTGTAGGTTTTTGTTTGTTTTAGATATGCAAATGGTAAATAGCTAAAATGTGACAGATTCATCAAAAACAATGTCAACAGAAGAATCTTCCTATGCGGCAACCGTTGATGTTGATGATATTGACGAGAATGAGGATAATGAACATGAAAAAGAATCAGATACAGAGGCACAATTTGAAGATGTCCAACATATTCTGAACACATTTGGCACTCACATCACATCGTCATCTAATTCTGCGCAACCGTCTCGGTCGCTACAACAAAATCAACATCTATCCATTGAATATTTTGATTCTCTTCGTTATGAAATTATGTACGAAATTTCAAACGTTGAAAAACAATTTGAACAATTAAAAAATCTTTTGTACGATGATAGTGTATCATTAATCGATCGTAAATTACAATTGGTTCAAGATGAGCAAGCACCCGAATATGAACATGAATTACGAAAATTATATGATGAAATGCAAATACGATCAGAAATAGCTAAACAACGACGTAATATTGAGTTGCAAGCGTTGGAAAATAGTAGTACGAGTGAATTATTAAGTTTACAACAGACATTAGAAAACGATAAATATATATTGAAAAGTGGAATGAAAGAAGATATTGAACGAAAAATTAATGAATTAGAAACATTAAAATCCAAAACACGTCTATGTATTCATATTCTTCAAGAAATGTTTCCACAAGAAATTAATATTAAAAAACATTTAAATTCTGTTGACGGTAATACAAAAGAAACAACAATGACTGCAATAACAAAGAAAAGACGTGGAGGAGGGGCTGGTGGAAATACATCATCAACAACGACAATTCAATCAAATGGACAAGCAGTATTCTATCAACTATCGGATATTGACATACTGGAAGATTGGTCTGTGATTAAAAAAAGTTTATGGAAAGAAGAAGAAGACGTGTATGATGATATTAGTTATTCTGATGCAAAGATAATTAGAAATGATTTTGAAAACGAAGGTGGTGGTCGAAATAGTAGTATAATGTCAAGCGAAGATGAAGAAAACAGTGTGTAGGACGAACACATACAGTTCTTGCTTTAAGCTCGAATTTTTTGCATAAAACACTAAATCTAGACAGAGATCTCTCATTGCTTTTTCCGTACTTGTACATATTGTATTTTGCACATGTTGTCTAATGTGATTGTAATAAAGATAAATAAAAACAAAAAACGACGGTTTTTTCTAACCGAATACATCATCGTTCAGACTGATCTAAGCGAAACACGTCTGTGAAGATTTTGTAATTTATAAAATTTCTGTGAAGAATCTGCATGTAGAATGTAGACAAATGCAATAGATCTATACAGGTCGATTACAGATTGTTACAGAGTATCGACAGATTTTTCACACATTTTCGCAAATTTACTACACGATGCAGTCTCAACGAGATTGTTTTGCTAAATATGCATCGAGAATATATTTGTAAACGTAAAATTATCTTCGGCAATTTCTCAAACTGTGCAAGTGATGTGTGTAGAATCTGTTAATACTCTGTAAAAAGCTGCGACAGATCTATTTTGCACAGCTTCTGAAGAAGAGCTGCAAACTTTTGTTGCAGATCTGATACAAATTTAATGCAGACTTTTCTTGCAGAAAGTTCCCTAAGGGAGTCAAAATTGAACTGTATAAAAAGTAAGATTACGATTAGCAAATTCTATGAGTACCTTTGAACTAGAGGTGTGCAGGCTGTCCTTATTCTATCCCAGTGAGCGTTTTTCTAATAGCAACCGAACATCAGAATTTTTTGCTCATAAATCCTTATGTCAAGAACAATTATCATTGTTTATTCATCTATGATGCTTTTTACGAAAAAACAATCAATTTTTTCGAAAAAACAGGTCTTATTGGTTCATTGGGAGAAAATTTCGAAGGATATCCCTACAAAAAAATATTTTATCGGCACTGGTTGTGCATGGGTGCGCACCGGTGCCGAATAATTTTTTTTCTGGGGAAAGAATGTAAAAGTCTCGTACCGATGCGCATCAGTGCCGAAGTTTTGTTTTCAATCACCATTTTGTTTTGTCAATTTCTATCTATTTTAACGCTACGGTCTACTTCTAATATTTCGAATGTCTTTCTGACTTCATTTTTTCCTTCTCATAAGAGAAGTGCCGAGGCAATGCCGCATGGTTTTGGCATGTCGATGTGGTACTGATCAGTGCCGCACTCTAACACAAAATTCAGCATAAACAACCATAATAAAGAACTAATTAAGTTGCTTAAATAAATTATCAGTGCGGCACCGATTTTTGCTAGTGCAGCACCCATGCGGCACTGACTTTTAGCAGTGCGGCACTCTTTCAGCAGAAATATATCGGCACCAGTGCGCATGGGTGCCAATCGGCACTGGTTCGGCACTTGCTGGGCACGGGTGCCAGCCAGTGCCAATGACCGATGGCATGCCGTGCGCACTCGCAGTGCCACACTGATCTTTACCAGTGCCGCATTGGAATTTTTTTTATAGGGATAGTTATTTGGTCCAAAAGCTATTGTGCGATACATTATTCAATACAACTAAACGCGCCGATTCCGAATATGAACTTATTTTTTTCTTAAAAGTGTCCTCAGACTCAATATGTAAAATATGTGTTTATTATTTTTGAATAAAACTGTAGCTAGAAAAACGGGCTTCGAACGTTGAACGAATAATTCCTATTGTACTCTTTTATAAGTATAGGATACGATGCAAACGGTCTGAAGTCAATAAGATACGGCGGGACAGGGCGTGGAAGCTTGTTGGGTGAAGTACATGAAATTTCTATAGCGTAGGATGCTGGATACAAAAGACTGTTGTGATATACATCAGTACGCATGTATATCCAATGTACAAATGGCTGTCTCTTATTGCTTAATAGTCTGTTTTAACATCTTGCGTTTAATTACAAATTAGTGAGCTATGAAAATCTGTTGCTTGTAAAGACGAGAGTGGGGGTGACATTTATAATAATCGTTCTCTTAATACATATATTTTCACCTTGGTAAGTGGTATCAAATAATTCAGTGTCAAAAAATTATTCATACTTGTAAATAAAGAAGGGACTGTATGGGATAACAATGATAGGGTCACTTACTTATACTTATACTTTATCTACTCAGTGAAACATCTCGTTAGAATGACATTATATTTACTTTTTGATATTTAGAAGAGCAATGCGATGATCAATTTGATGTAAGGTACATCACTCTTCAACTTATGTAATCATATAATGGAATCTTAGTTATTGCCTGTATTTGATTTTCTTTCTGTCTATAAATAGATGACCTTCAGATGGTAATTAGATCACGTTTGGTCTACTAAACAAGCTACTACGTCCGTTCAAATAATGAAACGTCTTGAAAGTAAAATGCAATTTGATCGTGGTGAGTTTACAAAAGTTGAGCACGATATGGAAAATTCTTCAGACGAACTAGATAAATATGATCAAGAATTAAGCCCTTCATCAATTTCGTTATTAAATGATGGCAAAAGTACCACCTCATCAGTCATTTCTTCTATCGCCATGACATCTAACGAAGAGATAAACAAAACGTTAGGCAGGTAAGAAAATGTTCAACAAAACATCTATGAAATCTGATAAGGATAATTTCAATGTTTACTAATTTGTTTGAACTTCTTGATTATGTTTGTTTTCTTATGTATAAAGATAGTGCTACTGAATATTCAAATATTCTCGATTCAACAAATATTCGCTCAAAGAAAGAAAAAGAGCAAACGTCTACATCACCCACCAAGTTCTTTCTATACATTTAATTAATTATTTTGTATTTCTTTTTTCATGATTGTTTTGACACTCAAAATTGAGTTTTTCAGTCATTCAGATACTATTACCTTAAAAGAAAGTTGTTCGTCAGTTATACTTTTTTTCCTCACCTTTTATAGAATTGAAAATTACCCTATAAAAAAAAATCCAATGCGGCACTGCCGGTGCGCACTCGTACCCGACACATGTCGAACCAGTACCGATATATTTCTGCTAAAAAATCAGTGCCTCATGGATGCCGCACTGGTAAAAATCAGTGTCGCACTAAAATTTATTTAATCAGTTTAATTAGTTTTTTTTATTATGGTTGTTTATACTGAATTTTGTATGAGAGTACGGCACTGATCAATACCTCATTGGCATGCCAAAACCTGACGACATTACCTCGGCACTTCTCTTATGAGAAGGAAAAGATGAAATCAGAAAGACATTCCAAATATTAGAAGTATACTGTGATGTTAATATAGACAGAAATTGACAAAACAAAATGGTGATTGAAAACAAAATTTCGGCACTGGTTCGCATCGATGCGAGGTTTTTGCGGACTTTCTGGCATCGATGCCCAGAAAAAACTTATCCGACACCGGTGCGCATTCGTGCATGACCAGTGTCGATAAAATATTTTTTTTGTAGGGTATGTTGTTTCTATTAATGAATAGATAAAGTTATTATAAGTTAAATTCTAGTGCTTGTTTCATCGTGTCCTTCATTTGTAACTTCTTCGATAATCATACGATCTTTATGCTAATAGACGACTTTAATCTATCATTTTTTTGTTTCTTCTATTTAGAACAATGTCTGGGCTATCATTAACAACTGCGAAAAAACATCGTCAGAGCTCCTCAACATCAGTTTTCAATAAAATAAAAACACCAGAAGAATTTGTTCAAAAATTTGGTGGTTCATGTGCTATCAATAGGATATTAATTGCCAATAATGGAATAGCAGCTGTTAAATGTATACTTTCAATTCGTCGTTGGTCCTATGAAATGTTTCATTCTGTTCATACTATTAAATTTGTTGCAATGGTTACACCGGAAGATTTACGGGCAAATGCTGGTAAAAATTACATTTTTGTACATTATATTGTTACTTATTTGTTTTTATTTTAGAATATATTCGAAATGCTGATCATTATGTATTGGTACCAGGTGGACCGAATCACAATAATTATGCAAATTGTGAATTGATATTAGACATTGCCAAAAGAACACTTGTTCAAGGTTTATAACTCTTTTTGTCTCTTTGCATAAATAAACCATCAATAATAAGCATTTTTCAATTTACGAGACTTTCGGTTATTTTGTTATAGAAAATGTCATCAATTGTTTATCTCTTTTCTTTTTTAGCTGTTTGGGTCGGATGGGGACATGCGGCTGAAAATCCAAAACTTCCAGAATTATTGCACAAAAACGGAATTATATTTATTGGTGAACAGAAGTCTTTTTTTTAAATATAGTATTTTAATGGGAAAAAGGTTATCTTTTACCGTTTTATTTCTTAGGACCGAATCCACATGCAATGTGGGTATTGGGTAAGCCGTAAATATTCTCAAACGTGGCTTATCTCTTCCAATAATAACATGAGGTCTAAAATGACCCATATTTATTTTAGGCGATAAAATAGCTTCAAATATTGTTGCTCAAACTGCAGATATACCGACATTACCATGGAGCGGATCTGGTGGGTGGACTAGTTAGAGAAAGTACCTTTTTGTACATGTAAAATAAGATTTATTTTAGAATTAATCGTTGAATGGACAGAAGAAGATCTGCAGGAGAATCGATATATCACAGTGCCAAAGGATATCTATGACAAAGGATATGTAAACGATGTTAACGAAGGCCTTCAAGTACATTCATTCTTTTTTTTTCATTTAAATTGTTTTTAAACATTATTCTTATTTTATCATGAAGTCAGCACATAAAATTGGCTATCCAATAATGATTAAAGCATCTCAAGGTAAATAATTATCTGTAATATTGATAATCTGTAATAAAAAAGAACTTTATTTTTTGAAGGTGGAGGCGGTAAAGGTATTCGTAAAGCATCCAATGATGAAGAATTTACAATTTTTTTTCGTCAAGTAAGCTTTTGTTTTTTAATAAAAGATAATTGATTTTTTCTATTATAAGAATTTAGTACTACGATTGTTATTATGTTTTTAGGTACAAACTGAAGTACCTGGTTCCCCAGTATTTTTGATGAAATATGCGGGTAGTTGCCGACATTTAGAAGTCCAAGTATTAGGTGATCAAACAGGACAAGCTATATCATTATTTGGACGTGATTGTTCGATTCAACGACGGCATCAAAAAATAATTGAAGAAGCACCAGCTATCATTGCTTCACCAGAAATTTTAGATAAAATGGAAAAAGCAGCTGTACGTTTAGCAAAAATGGTGGGCTACGTTAGGTGAACCTTTTTATTTCATTTCTTTTTTAATAAGAAAATTAATAAATGATTTCTTTTTTAGTGCTGGTACAATTGAATATTTATATAATCCTGAAGATCAAACTTATTATTTTCTTGAGTTAAATCCTCGTTTACAAGTAGAACATCCATGTACAGAAATGATAGCTGACATTAATCTACCTGCGTGCCAACTACAAGTAGTTTCTCTTTCATTTCTTTAACATGTTTTTCTATTTTGCCTTCTACTCTATTTAGATTGCTATGGGTATTCCTCTGCATCGAATTAAAGATGTACGTCTTCTTTATTCGGAAGATCCATTTAGTGATATATTAATTAATTTCGATGAACCAACCATTAAACCACAACCAAAAGGTCATGTTATTGCTGCACGAATAACATCGGAAAATCCTGATGAAGTACGTCGTTGTTAATTTATTTAAGTAGCTAGTCGATCAGATAGTATATCGAGTTTTCTTTATGCCTTTTTTCAGGGTTTCAAACCGAGTTCTGGTAGTGTTGAAGAATTAAATTTTCGTAGTAGTAAATATGTTTGGGGATATTTTAGCGTAAGTACATATTTTCTCTAACATTACATGTTTTACTATACTACTCTCGTCTATTTATCGGTTATAATGTTAATATATTGTCTTTTATTTTACTTTTGAGTCAGTTTTGATTAGGAGTGGCATATTACTGTTACTCATATCTTACATTACCGATGAAAATAACACTGAAAAGTATTACTATTGCTGGTAATAGGAATATTCACAATATTAGTATTACTTTTTGGTGGAATAATACAAGAAAAAGTTTTTTTTCGAAAGAATATTCAAAGATTTTCTAACGTGTTCTTGGATGAATATTCATTCCTACCAGAAAACTTTGAAAAGTCAGGTGAACATTTTCTCTTTTTTTTCCTGCTGAAATTTCTACTATGCTTTTCAAATTATGAGGTCTGTGGCTGTTTGTTGAACAACTCGAGAATGAAACGAGCTAGAGAATTCGGATTTCCATCATTCAAAGGAAGAGACTTGCAGGCATCTTTTCATAACAGAGTATCGGGCTTCCTTGGAGCTCCAGGACTGTTATCCGGTAACTTTAGGTAGTCTTGAAATCGCATAGAATTCACGTAATCGATCATGCTGAATATAATAACAATGTTGGTTTTTGGAAAAGACTCCAAAAACCAGGACAAAATCGACTTTTATGAAAGTTGGAGTTTCCATACCATTTTCACCCGATAGTAAAGAATTCATAACTCTATCAAACAGCATTAGAACGAGTTGGAAACATCAAGCTGTACGGTATTTAAACTGTTCTATGCTGTATTTACAAGAAATCTACAAAAAAAATACTAAAAATTCCTGTGATTTTGCGAAAGCTTTTGATCAATAACATGACTTTTCAAGTTTTTCGATCGTATAATCCTGTTAAACGGACAACTAAACATATCCTGAAGTTTTTTGAGTGAACCCTGAAGCTCCAAGGAAGCCCGATGTCACGCCCGAACTACTGGAAATCAAGGTCTCGTCTGACTCCCATTTTGAACAGAACGCTTTGAACTATCTATTCACGAAGAAAAATGAAAATATTCGTACTTGAAATTTGTGAGCCATGAATGATAGAAATCCGAATTCTCTAGCTCTTTTCATTCTCGAGTTGTTCAACAAACAGCCACAGACCTCATAATTTGAAAAGCATAGTAGAAATTTCAGCAGGAAAAAAAGAGAAAATATTCATCTGACTTTTCAAAGTTTTCTGGCAGGAATGAATATTCATCCAAGAACACGTTAGAAAATCTTTGAATATTCTTTCGAAAAAAAACTTTTTCTTATATTACTTCACCGAAAAGTAATACTAATATTGTGAATGTTCCTATTACCAGCAACAGTAATACTTTTCAGTATTACTAGTAATAGGAATACATGAAATATTACTGTTACCAGTAATAGGAATACATATAATATTTGTATTACTAGTAACAGTAGCAGTAATGTGCCACCCTTACTTTTGATCTGAAAATGGAATTATTCGCTGCTAAATTTAGAAAGATGGATCCAGTTAGCTAGAAAATCGTAAGCCAAAGTGTAGGTGGAAGGATTAAAATTAAGTTGAATTTCTGTTTTTTCTGATATGTAAACTTAAAATGCTCATTTTCATTTTCAACTTCTTTAGAATAAATTGAAAGAAATTCTACGCAAGTGTGTATTTGTTTTGTTTGTGTTTGAAGGTAAAAGCTAGTGGGGATTTACATGAATTTACGGATTCACAATTTGGTCATTGTTTTTCGTGGGGTGAATCAAGAAATGACGCTCGAGAGTATGTATAAATATCACTTTTTATTAGTGTTATATTGAATCTTGTTTTATTTTTAGAAATCTTGTTGTTGCTCTAAAAGAATTAAGTATGTATAGTAAAATAATTTACTAATTGTTTACTCGTTACAATTTTTATACTCAATTAGGTATTCGTGGTGATTTTCATTCAACTGGTGAGTAAATAAGTTTTGTTTAATTTTGTTTTATAATCATATTATTTTTATAGTTGAAATACTGATTAAATTACTTGAAACTGAATCCTATTTGAATAATACTCTTGATACAAGTTGGTTGGATTGTTTAATAGCTGGAAATGTAAAAACAGAAAAACCTGATACCATGCTTGCAATTACGTGTGGTGCTATACATGTTGCTGATCAAATAATACGTACTAAATTTCAAAATTATGAATCATCACTAGAACGGTATTTATATCATATATATTCTCTTATTTTAAGACATATTTGCTATTTCTTTCAGTGGACAAATATTATCGTTAACAAGTTTATCTGTTTCCAGTAATGTAGAATTTATATTTGAAAATATTAAATATAATTTAAATGTATGAATTTACTACAGTCATCAAAAGACATATTATGTTAAGCTTTTTTAGGTGACAAAATGTGGTCCAACGTTGTACTTTGTTGTGATGAATGATTCCTACGTTGAAGTTGAAGCTCACAGGTAGATATATTAGAAATTGATATATAAATACTATTATCTCTTTTTGTGTATGTGTGTGTAGAATGAATGATGGTGGAATATTGATCAATCTTGATGGTTGTAGTTATACAACGTATGTGAAAGAAGAAGTGGGAGTTTATAAAATAGTAATTAATAATAAAAGCTGCGTCTTTCAGAAAGAAAATGATCCATCCACTTTAAGGTAGAAGCTAACTTTATTTTTCTTTCAATTTTTCTTTTTATTTGTTGTGTATATTATAGGGCACCCTCAGCTGGTAAACTACTTCATTTCACTATTGAAGATGGTGGATTAATTGAAGCTGGACAAGTGTACGCTGAAATTGAAGTTATGAAAATGGTTATGGAATTAAGATGTGCTGCTACAGGACAGTAAGTAGAACAATTGATTCTATTATCTATAATTTAATGTCTGCTATTTTCATTTTCCTTTCTAGTTTACAATATATTAAACGTCCTGGTGCTGTATTAGAGTCGGGTTGTATTATGGCTCGTATTATATTAGATGATTCATCTCAAACACAAAAATTACAATTATACGAAGGAAAATTTACTGATACACCGATAAATCGTCTGAAAGGTATAAAATTAAATCAAATATTACAATTAGTAAAAATATCATTAGAAAATATTCTGACCGGTTACACATATCCAGAACCATATTTTCATGAACGTTTAAAAGAAAATGTCGATACATTATTTAATACTTTATGTGATCCATCATTGCCACTATTAGAATTAGAAGAAATTTTGGCAACAATATCTGCACGAATACCATTGCAAGTTGATCAACAAATAAAATCATTAATGAAAAATTATATGACTAATTTGACATCAATTCTCATTCAATTTCCATCACAACAAATAGCAAATGTTATTGAAACTTATGCTGAAAAACTCAAACATCGTGAAGAACGAGACATGTTTTTTACAACTATTCATCCAATTATTGGATTAGTTCAACGTTATAGAAATGGTATTAAAGGACATACAAAATTAATTATAACAAATTTAATTGAAAATTATCTAAATATTGAAACATTATTTCAGAATGAACAATACGATAATTGTTTAACATTATTACGTGAAAATCATAAAACTGATATGCATCGAGTTGTTGAACTAGTTTTTTCACATGCAAATTATCAATCAAAAAATGCTCTTATCGTTATGTTAATTGATGTATTATTTGCTCGTGATTCAACTTTAACAGATGAAATAAAAAAATTGATGCATGAATTAACTCTATTGGATAATCAAAAAAGTATTAAAGTCGCATTAAAAGCTCGACATATTCTAATTGCATTTCAAAAGCCACCATTTGAATTAAGATATAATCATATGGAATCAATCTTTTTAACTGCTATCGATATGTATGGACATAAATTATGTGAAGAAAATTTACGAGTAAGAGAAAAAATTTATCAATACTTTCTATATACGATTCTATAAGTTATTTAGAAACTTATTTTATCTGAAACAAGTATATTCGAAGTATTGCACAGTTTTTATTTTCATTCAACTATTCAAGTTCGACAAGCTGCTCTTGAAGTTTATGTTCGACGATCATATATTTCATATGATTTAATTAGTATTCAACATGATTATTTATCAAATGGAATATGTACAATTCAATTTTCTGTACATCTTCCACAAAATCATCCAAATCGGTATGTACTCTGTCATTTTTTCTTATTATGTACGTGTTAAGTGCGTTTCCGACTAAACACTTTAGAGTTATATATATCCATACATAAATAAATGAGTTAATTCAAAGACAAACACGAAGAGAGAGATTATATAGTTTTGTTCAATGAATCAGAGTGTATTTTACTGTGCAGTGAACTTTCAATAATCAAACATTTTCTGTTGAGAGCATACCACTAGACTATGATTACTTTTATAGATTGTCTCAACTTTCGTTATTTTCGGTCCTGCCTCGTGCAGCAAGTTTGAGTCAACATTTAAGTAATTTATGTGATGAAAATAGTGCTGTATTTCAACGTATTGGAATACTAGTGGCATTTGAAAACTGGGAACAAGCAAAAGAGTATGAAATTGTTCTTTATCTACAGTAGTTCGGTGCAAAATTATAGAAAATAATTTGTTCTTAACATTATTTGCTCGATCCTAATAACCAGAACGAATCCAAAAACTAATTTCAATAGTTGAAAGAGTTTTCAATATGCATGTAAGTTTCATTAAAATTTACCTATATGGGAACTTTAGAAAACCAGAATTTTAGGAAACCAAGATCCTAGATTTAATTAGAAGCTCAGTCTACCCCAAACGCAAAATTAAAAGGAAATCAACTAAAAATGCTTTTGATAATACCATTATATATAACGGATGCAGTTTAACCCTTTCTTTCCCACGACTAAATCTGATAGTCGAAAATCAAAACTCGCCTAAGAACGTCAACCTAATGATTCCTGATATACACAGAAAATGTCTAAATCAAATCTGTCGAGTTCCAATATAGCGTACACGTTTATCAGCGCGTAAGTGCAGAATAGAAAGAAAAGAAGAGAACATATACTCCACCGAACTACACCGCACTACAATAAACATTGATATAAAATGTATTTCTGTATGTCTTATAGTTCATGAGAACTAAACTTTTGAAAAATGGTATCTATAGATGCCATTGGGAATGAAAGGGTTAACCCTTTTTTTCCTAATTTTACGAAAGAATGTCGTCAAGAACTCGAAGATATCTCATTTTGTCCAAAAAAGTTTATTCTATACGACTAGATTGTGTGTAAAAAGAGACGTGGTCTCTTAGAATTTTTTTCTGCTCGAGTTTCTATACCAGTAAAATTTTGATGTGTATTGAATGAACACATTACTTTCGATTGAAATCAATTTTTGAATTTGTTCTGGTTATTATGATCGAGAGCAAACAATGTTAAGAACAAATCATTTACTATAATTTTACACAGGATTATATTAAACATAATGAAATCAACTGTTTGTCTGTTTAGTTCATTTGACGAATTGGTAGATCGTTTTTCGTCGACAGTTATTGCCGATTCTACGTTAACGCCTTTGCCACGTTCTTTTTCTCGCCAAATATCAGTCGATAGCGCATCTGTCGCTAAAAAAGTGCTTAATAAATAGGAAAAATAGAATAAATATAGATCAAATAATATACTTATGTTTAGATGGACGAGGCAATGAATGTAATTTACATATTTATAAAAGATGACACAAATTTTCAACAACGTTTCAAATTAGAAAATATATTTTTAGATTTTATTCAATCGAAAGTAAATCACATTTATTGTCAACCTCTACAACAATTTATAAAAGTGTGTTTTTTTTTGGTTTTGATAGAAGGAAATATGTGATTTAAAAAATGTTCGACGTGTGACATTTTATTTGGGAGCAAAGGTAAGTTGATTAAAAAAAAAATATTCAATAGATAACAGCATGTCAGAATAGTTCAGATGTAAGAACGATAAGATATTAAGAAGAATATTGCTCTGAGAGGGAAGATTAATATGAGAGACTTTTTTAACACTATCTGTTGATTGTGACGAAATATTTAATATCGATCCTTTTATAAGTATCATTCGATGCTCTACTAATCTGAATACTGATCTTGTTATGTTGTTGTTGTTGTTGATATATGTTAAACGTATTATTTGTTTTTTAGCGTCAATATCCTATTTATTACACATATCGTAAAAGACTTGATGTACGAAACTTTTTGAAGATTATTTGATTATGTTTTCTTTTTTATACATTTTTTAGCATTTAATCATTATAAATATTTCTTTTTCAGTTTCAAGAAGACAAAATTTATCGTAATTTAGAACCAGCATTGGCATATCAACTAGAAATTTATCGTTTACGCTTATTTGATTTGGAATTTATTCCTACATCAAATTATAAAATGCATTTATATTTGGGTAAAGGAAAAGTACATAATAAACAGCATCAACAAGACGAAAATGATCATCGATTTTTTATTCGATCAATCATACGACATTCTGATATCTTTGCAAAAGAAGCATCATTTGAATATTTACAAAATGAAGCTGAACGAACATTACTAGAAGCCATGGATGTATTAGAATTGGCATTTTCACATCCATTAGCACGTAAAACCGATTGTAATCATATATTTATATGTTTTGTACCTACTGTATGTGCTGATCCCGTTAAATTAGAAGAAAGTATACGCAGTATAGTGTTACGCTATGGTGCACGATTGTTGAGATTACGAGTATTACAAGCTGAACTTAAAATGATTATTCGTATAACACCTGATTCAGAACAGATACCATTTCGTGTATTTGTATCAAATGATAATGGTTATTATTTAGAAATATCATTGTATCGAGAAGTAAGAAATTCTGAAACGGGTCAAAGTGTATATCAAAGTTATCGGGCGGGTAAAACAGGTCCACTTGATGGAAAGTATTTGCATGATCCATATGTAACAAAAGATCATTTACAACATAAACGATTTACAGCACAATCAAATGGTACAACGTATGTCTACGATTTTCCAGAAATGTTTCGACAAGCTCTATCGCATATATGGCGTTTACATATGGAAAAAAATAATGCGAAAAAAACCTTACCAGGCGATCTATTTGAATATGAAGAGTTAATATTGGACAATAGCGCTAGTAATTACATATAATTCTAAAGCTATTTCCCTAACAATGAGGACATCATACCAGGCCCGTAGCCAGGATTTTTGTGAAGGGGGAATCGATTTTTTTCCCTTAAGAGATAGTGTGAAGTCTTATCAACTAGCGACTTTTTCAGACGGGATTCAGTAGAAAAAAATCATCTTTTCAAAAGTCCAAGGGGGGCACTGGTCCCCTCAATCCTCCCACTGGCCACGGTTCTACATCATACAACGAAGAATATCAGAAAAAGATTTATTTAGCAGACATTATGTAATAGCGTATTAAACGCGTTCTATTTATTATTTTAAGGTAACAGTTTGAACGATTTGTCATTTTCTTTGTCTCCTGTTGGCGCCATCAATGCGATAGCAACTACACCATCACGGTCCTTGATTAATTCCCCAAAAATAAATGATAAAATTGATACATCATCCATTCCATTTTCATCTGATTTATTAAAAAAATGTGGTCTGCAAGCCCTTAGACGTCATCCAACTGAAAATGATTGTGGTATGATTGCTTGGCGTATGAAATTGAAAACACCCGAATACCCAAATGGTCGTATAATTATTGTAATTGCTAATGATCTCACTTATAAAATCGGTTCATTTGGTATAGAAGAAGATTTATTGTTTCAACGCTCATCCCAGCTGGCACGTCTTCAAAAAATACCAAGAATTTATATAGCAGCAAATAGTGGCGCTCGAATTGGTTTAGCTGAAGAGTTAAAAACTCTCTATCGTATTGCATGGAATGATGTTCATGATATCGAGAAAGGTATTAAATACTTATATGTGTCGAAAGAAGATTATGAACGGATAGAAAATCCAAATTATGTGAAAACCGAAGTGATCAACGATGAAAATGAAGTCAGATATAAAATTTTGGATATTATTGGAAAAGAAAATGGTTTGGGAGTAGAAAATTTACGTGGTTCTGGTATGATAGCGGGTGAAACTTCAGAAGCATATAATACAATTGTAAGTCCACTTTTCAACGATTTCAAAAGTCTGAGAATCCATTTTTATTCTGTTCATTTTAGCCAACAATAAGTTTGGTGACTTGTCGTGCGGTTGGAATTGGTGCTTATCTTGTTCGATTAGGTTCACGTGTTATACAAGTGAAAGATTCTCATATTATATTAACTGGATTCAGTGCCTTGAATAAGTAAGTTTCTAAGATGTCTTTTTGTAGACTGATGTTTTTCTATTGTATTTTTTAGAGTACTTGGACAAGAAATATATAATAATAATAATCAGTTAGGCGGTACTCAAATAATGTTTAATAATGGTGTTACACACGATGTTGTTAAAGATGATTTTGATGGTTGTTTATTGATATTGAAATGGTTATCATACATGCCAAAAACAATGTTGCATTCATCACCTGTCTTAACAGTTAATGATCCAATTGATCGACCAATTGACTTTATACCAACATCAAGTATGTATTTTGTTTGTATAATGACAACAAATTTTCGTAGAATAAAAATCGAATAAGTTTATTAGAAACGATTGTTTTTATTTGTTCCAGTGCCGTATGATCCACGTCACATGATACAAGGGCATCAATTTTTTCATGCAAATAATGAACCAGTCGTAGATGCACCTTCGTCATCCGAAGCAGTATCACAACCGAACATATCAAACTTGCCATCCATAGCACAACAAACATTCTCATCTTTAACCACAACGACGATATTTCAAACCGGATTTTTCGATCGTGATTCATTCGTCGAAATAATGAAAGGATGGGCAAAAACCGTTATTACTGGCAGAGCACGTTTAGGCGGTATATCAATAGGTGTTATTGCTGTTGAAACACGTACCGTTGAACTAGAACAACCTGCTGATCCGGCTCATTTTGATTCAGATGCGTATACCATTCAACAAGCAGGACAAGTATGGTTTCCTGATTCAGCCTATAAAACAGCACAAGCTATTCGAGATTTTAAACGTGAAAATTTACCATTAATGATATTTGCTAATTGGCGTGGATTTTCTGCGGGATCGAAGGATATGTATGATCAAGTAATTAAATTTGGTGCTTGTATTGTAGATGCTTTGAGAGAATATGAACAACCTGTATTTGTTTACATTCCACCATATGGAGAATTGAGAGGAGGAGCATGGGTAAGTATTTTAAAGCGATTTTGATAAACTCGTTGTATTAATACTATTTCTGTAAAGGTTGTTGTTGATCCAACAATTAATATACGTTTCATGGAAATGTATGCTGATCGTTTAAGTCGTGGTGGTGTACTTGAACCAGAAGGTGTGTAAGTTAATTATCAAAACTGAATATTTTATTAATATATTTTTGTTTTAGGTACAGTTGAAATTAAATATCGTACGAAAGATCTTGTTCGAACAATGCATCGGCTTGACTCAATATGTCGAGAATTACAAATGAATATTAACAGGCAATCGGCAGTCGCAAAGCGTCGGGCGAGTATTGTGCAAACATCAATCATTTATTCTCCATCCCCATCTCTACCACCTACCACATCAACAACTGATAGTGTGAAAGATGAGTTACAACGACAATTATCCGAACGAGAAAAATTGCTTACACCCGCTTATAAACAGGCAGCCGTTATATTTAGTGATTTACACGATACACCAGGACGAATGTTGGAAAAGGGCGTTATCAGAGTAAGTGTGTGCTTTATTACTATATACTCTACTTGATAATTAAAATATTTAATCGTTCTTATAGGGGATATTAGACTGGCAGACGAGTCGTGAGTTTTTTTACTGGCGTTTGAAACGTCGTCTGAAGGAAGAAGCAATAATTAAACATGTGCTGAACGCTGATTCAACAACTGATTATCAAGCAGCTTTCAGAAAATTACAACAATGGTTCATGGAAGATAAGAATGATGTATGAATATCTGTTCGTTTGTTACACACATTTTTCAGCTATTATTCCTTTACACTTTATTTTTAGACATCCCAATGGAATTCAGATAAAATCGTTGTCGAATGGTTAGAGAACCAATTATCTGAAACTGACAGTAGATTGACTGATCGAATAAGAAATATTGAAAAACAAGATGCAACTAATAAAATAAAAGATTTATTAATTCGATATCCCGATATATTGCCAGACATTGTACAAAATACAACGGATGATCAACGTCTAGAGATTCAACATTTATTGAATAATATAAACAGTGTTAATTAAACATTACTTGCTTTTTTTTCCCATACAGTAATTTTTTGTTTTTTTTAATTGTGTTATGAATCAGACATCTATGTTTTTATTTTTACTAGATGTTTGGCTGAAATTAACGAATTTTGCATACTTTCATAACTTCCATATACTCATCTTACTGCTCAATTTTATTATTCCATTTAATTTTTATCGCATTATAATTTATTTTTTGTTGTTATTAACATTTTTTACTTTATATTTCTGTATGTTTATTTACTGACTATCCGGTTATTTATTCTTTGATCGCTCAATTATTAGCCGTTTAGTTCTTGATCTCGGTGCTATATTTCTCGCTTTTTACACATTTGTGTAGATGAAAATATTTTTTTATAACAATAACTACAATTTGCAATAAACTAGTTGTGAAATTATTTACTCTTCAAAATATAACATGATTTTGTCTCAAGATCGTGTAAGATCAAGCGAGATCTTGTAACTTCTTGCCATAAGATCACAAGATCAGTTCATAAGAAGTGACAAGATGATATAAGATCTTGTGACAAGAAATCGTATGATCTTCCAAGAATGACTACTCATTCTGACAACATAAATTTTGCTGCGATGTCTATAGGATATATACCATATCATTCCTATGACGAAACTTAAACTTTTCCCTTAACTTCACACATCAGTTAAACACAAGGAAAGTGCATGACTCTAAGGCACATGATCTGACACAGGTCATAGGTATATAACAGTCCGGATCAGACACAAAATCTCGTAAGGTCTGATGAAATCTTATATAGAATGGGCGAGACTGAGTTATATGAAATCTTGTAAGACCTTGAACGATCACGTGTAGTCTTGTGATATGATCTTGCAAGATCATTTGACAGGATTGATTTGTGTAGGCTGATTCGGAACCAGTCTAAATTCTGATCTGGACTGTAGTATATATGCAGATGATTTTCATGCAGTTTGAAGGTTAACTATTGTATAGTTTTAGTCTTAGTACATATGAATACTGTCGATATATCCACAATAGACAAAATAAAATATATTTTATTTTGTTAATGTTAAAAGTGTTTTCGTTCAGTTTAGAAATGACGAATATGCTTGAAATTTTCAAACCGTGAAAATTTCATATGAAAAATATGTTAAGTCATTTTCGTTAATACAACATAGTGTGTCATAAAGGGTGGCCAGAATCAATGAAACGTTTCAGTAGTGATGAGCGATCAGTTCGTTTCAGTTATTTTAACCCACACCTTGTCAATCATATTGCCAATCTAGTCATTTCTTTTGTAGCTGTGTAAACTTGTATCGTTATTAATCGCGTAATAAGCATTACTGTTTTTAATGGGTAATAGTCGAAGTATAAATAATATTTTAACAGTACCAATGATTATATATCCTGAAGGTTTATCGTAACGTCTAGTGTCTGGTTCTATAGTTGCATATCACCGACAAAAAATTAAAGTTCATTTAGAGTTAAAGAAAAGTGCTTTTTCGTATTCAGCACACTGGATAACCTCGAAAATTTTTTATTTTCAGCGAGAGGTACCGCCAAAAAGTTAAGAAAAATTTTCAAAATTGTATAATTTTACCATGGGGATTTTTCTGCGTCAATTTGGTTGAAAATTTTTCCTTACCTTTTGGCGGTACCCCTCGCTAAAAATAGAAAATTTTCTAGGTTATCCAGTGTGCTGAATACGAAAAGCACTTTCTTTAACTCTAGACAAACTTTATTTTTTTTATCGGTGATATGAGTCAAATAACTAAACTACAATTATGTTAAAAATGCTCTTTTCGTTCATCTATGGTATAGAGTGAGTTGGGATAATTCTGGACAGCTTCTCAAATTTTCACAGTACTTTGAGCGTACCTGAAGCATTTTTACTTGGGAAAAAGCGACACTTCGCAGGTAGATAGACCGAATATTTCTCTATCTACTAATGTAAAAACCTTGTTAAAGTTCAATAAGATTAATTGGTACTCGTCAATTTTCAGAGAGCTCCTATCAAATGTCCATAATTACCCCAAATGGGGTAATTATGGACAGTCCAGCAAAAATGGCTGGAAGCAAGTAAAACAACTTTTTGTCAACGGCAAAGTTTTACCTTTCTGATTAAAAATTATATCATCTTGTAGAGAATTTTGAGCTCTATCTACCTTGTAAATTGCTAGCCCTTTGGACACATTCTTGATTAATTAATTAGAAATTGCGAAATTAAACGAACATAGCCGTTTTTTCTATTTTTCTTGCTTGGGGTAATTATGGACACCCCGTGAAAATCGCACGGGATAGACAGAAAACAAATTCTACTGTCCTTCAGAAATTGATTTTGATACCATGTTAAACGGCACAATTGTTCAGAACCATGAGCTCTACCATATATGTAAAAACCGGATAAAAAAAGTGTATTTTCATCGTTTCCTGTAGAGAATATGAATACTGCTGTTTTTGAACGGTCTTTCGTTCACTAAAATTATAAGAAACATTTAATTAGAACCTTAAT